AAACTAAATTAGTTCAGCCTGTTATGTTGTTAGCCTTGTGGCCCTCAACTGTTCTTGATGCGAGAGATGACTTAGCTCTGTAATGATTTTTGCTGCCAGGTGTTGCGCCTTCTCCAGAGCAGCTATGTCTTTCTGAAGATGAGGTCTCCGTGCCTGGATGCAATAATCCAAATGGGGATGGGAGGGGGGGGGACACCAGCGAAATATATATACAATTGAATCACTACTTTTCCTTAAAGGTAAAGGTACGCTTGATTATTCCAAGAGTTTGGTTCCTTTTTTTTTTACTGCCAATCCCACTTGTGCAACTTTCAATGAATGATGGGTTCTGACTCCAAGGTCCTTTTCTTCATCAATCTGTTGTCAGGTAGCACTGTTAATTTTGTAGTTGTGACATGGATTGTTATTCCCTACATGAAGGGTCTTGCATTTATTGACTTTAAAAAACATTTTCCAATCTTCTGATCATTTGTGGAGTTCATGTAGATCTCTTTGTAAGGTCTCAATATCATTTTCACTTCCCACTTTACCATAAATCTTAGTGTTATTTGCAAATTTGATGATAATGATTGTAATATTCTCATCTATGTCATTGATGTATATGACAAAAAGGGCTAGCCACAAAATGAACCCCTGTTAGCACCCCACTTACCACATTTCTCTGGACAGATTCATTCCCATTTAGTACGACGCTTTATTTATTTTTTTTTTTTAGCCATTGTTTTGTCCATTTATTCCATGTGCCTGTGTAATTTCCTTGATAGTCTCTCATGTGGTACCTTGCCAAAAGCTTTAGCAAAGTTCATGTAAGCTACATCTTCCGTAAGTCCTTTGTCTGAATAGCTGGTTACCTGCTGAATGTGAGCAGGTTTGTAAGGCAGGATCTATTTTTTAACAAACCCATGTTGCATTGATTTTACAAGATTGTTCTCTGTGAGATGTTGCATGATTCCCTTAAGATTATCTTCATGAGCTTCTAGATGTGTGATGTCAAGCTGATAGTCTCAAGTTGAGACTATCAAGTTGATAGCCTCCTCCATGGTAATCTAGAAAGTCATCATCCTGGACCTTTATGTGAGTTTCTGTAATTGTTTTCCATCTTAGAATATAGTGATCACAAGACAGGGTGAGCTTTTCCCCCTACTTGAATTTGATTGATCCTGTCCTCTTATGTTATTAGCACAAGGTCCAGAATGCTGTTACTTCGAGTGGGCTCTGTCACGTGTTAATGAGAAAGGAGTCCTGCACCAGGTCTAGAAATTGATGACCTGCTTGCAATGTTAGATTTACCCAATCTCTTGTCTCATGGGTTAAAGTTGCTCATTATAAGAGTTTGGTTGCAGCAATGATCATATTATGCAGATCAGTAACTTCCTCTGCTGCTGTGTCAGTCCTGTAGCATATTGTTACCATCTCAGTTTATTACCATCTTGAGTTAGTATGTTGCATCATACAGACTCTTGAGAATCCCATGGTGTTCAGTTCCTCATTTGTGGTTGCAATCAGGTCTTCTTTCACATAAAGCATTACATCACCTGCTCCTGTTGTTCTGTCCTTTCTGAATGGTGGATGATACCCTGGGAGGTGGAATTTTTCCCTCAATAATGTCCTCTCGTTCCCACGTTTCTCTGATGCCAATGATGCTAGGATTCTCGGCCTCAGCGTATACACTTAATGCATTAAATTTATTCACCAGGCTTTTGGCATTTGTTTAGAGCAATTTAAATTACTTATGTTGTTCCTATTGGACAGAGAGATAGCTCCTGGATAGACATAAATCTGGTGAGAGCAATAGAAGCTTTGAATAGAAAAATAAAAAACAACTTCATCATAAGGAACCTTGCAAAAGTAGAGGATAAGAATGACCAGGAAATCGTTGAGGAAATGATAGAGAAACTGACTTGAAATGAGGAAGATCTCAGTCTATCCAATGTTGAGAGGTTAGGTAAACCCGAAACGAATCTGTTACGCATAACCATTGCAAACTTTGAACACAGTAGGAAGGTACTCACCAGTGCGCATAACATAAAAGATCTTGAAGTGTATACCCAAATCTTTATCTCCCCAGACCTCACAGTTGAACAGCAAAAAAAAAATAAAAAAAACAGTACTAAGAGGCACGCTAAAGTACTGTAGTTAAGAAACTCAGACGCATACAAACATTCAAAGCTGAAGATGCAGGAGAGGATCAGTGATCAAGATAGTAGATAGAGGAGAGGACATAGTCCTTCACCCCAGCCAAGCAGAAATAACCCTATATATCTCGGAAGACAAACTGGCACAAAACCAGAGTGACAATGAACAGAATAGTAATGTACAGAATCCAGGAGCTCTCTCTCAGCCCAATAGGAACAATTTAAATTGCTTCTACATAAATGTCAGAAGCCTGGTGAATAAATTTGATGCATTAAGTGTATACGCTGAGGCCGTATACACTTAATGCCACCTCTTAATAATGTCAACTGTTATCGTGCGGCACTGGGGGAGCTGCTCCAACTTGCGTTTGGGGTGGATGTCACTTCGGCTCCGTTCTGTAAGCTTTCTTGTGCGTTTTTCCACCTCCAGCCTGCTCATGCGCCTCCGAGCCATCCTTGTCTTTGGACTGGGTGCTCTCTTCTCCTCAGTTTGTTGTGGCCCCTTCAGTCCAAGATTACTTTCAGAAGGCTTTGTTTCTGTTGGCTTTGGCCTCTGGAGGTCAGGTCAGTGAGCTTCATGCTCCCCTCCAATGCAGAGGTTTCTGCTCTTTTGGTCCTGGTGGACGTTTTGTTTGTTTGCAGCTGTCTTCTTATTTTCTGGTGAGGAATGAGACGGCAGGCTTCCAGAGGGGTCAGTGGGGTATTGATACTTGGTTGGTTAGGCGGGGGGTGCATCATGTTTAGCATCCGGTTGCGGCTCTCCGGCGTTACCTGCGCGCCTCGGCTTCTGTGTCCGGGGACATGCTTTGGGTTGATCCGATTTCCCTCGTTCCCTGTTCCAGGACTCGGGTTCCTCAGGTCGTCCACAGGGCTATCAAGTCTAGCCAGCCTGTAGTCTACCCTTGTGCCCATGATAACAGGGGCCTGAGTGTAGGTATTGTAGGGGCCCTGACAGCTGAATGGACAGAGCTCGGGATTCGTAGTCCTGAGGTTCCGAGTTTGATCCCCGGTGGAGGCAGAAACAATTGGGGAAAGTTTCTTTCGCCCTGATGCTTCTGTCACCTAGCAGTAAATAGGTACCTGGGAGTTACAGCTACTATGGGATGCTTCCTAGGGGTGTGTAACAAAAAGGAGGCCTGGTCTTGGACTGGGCCGTGGGGATGCCAAGCCCCGAAATCATCTCGAGATAACCTCCAGATCTGATGATCATAGTTTGCTGCTCTTGACACTGTTTCTGGGAACATGTCCTGGGCTGACATTCGGGCGTGGGGGTTTTGGAGGTCAAACAGGGTCCTGGCTGCCCATTGGCTTGTGAACGTTCCGAGCCCTCAGCGGTTTTGTGTGGCCTTGGGCTGTCAGTTGTGGCCAGTTGTCTCGTCTTCGTCTTGAGGCATGCGGTGCTGCTGCCTCCTGGGCAAGTCCCTCTTTTACTTATCTTTGGGTATCTAGCTCCAGGGAGCCGACAGGGCTTTCTACAGAAAAGTAACGTTGAATGTAATGAAACGCCATTTTCTGGGTGAGCCCCGGAGGCTCCCTGGCACCTGCCCTCCCTCTGGTCGGCGGTTTTTTGTTCCGTTTGCTCAGTCTTCGATCTGGTGAGCATGTGGCCGGTTCGGGTGAGGGGGGGGGGGGGGAAAGCATCGGTTTGAAGAAGATATGCTTGTCTTGTTTTTCTTGGAGGGAGTTCTTGGGCTCTGTTCAGTCTTTGGTTGCAATTTTCTACCAGCTGGGGTCTGTTTTAGGATGCCTACCTTTCTGGGTGCCTAACCCTGGTTGATGGCAGACAGTATAATACTCTCAACGAGTGGAGTTTTTATAAGCTATTGCTCCCTGCGCCTCTCTGAGGAAGCCAGGTTCTGGCTCATGGTTCCTGGTAGGCAGAACTCCATGTGACTGAAGCCCCAGACTAATATAGCTAATATCAGTTCGAGAGCTCTAGGGAGCCTCCGGGGCTCACCCAGAAAATAATATTTTATTACATTCAATGCTGGTTTTTTGAAAAATGAAGTGGCATAATTACACGAATAAATAAATGAAAATACACGTGCACTGTGTTGGTGGTCTGCCATTTTATAATTGGACTCGTAAGTCAATGCCTCTCCATCCTCCTCTTATCTTCAGCCCAAGGCCTCACCCCACTAATAGATTAAACATGATCAATTCATGTGAATGTGGGTCATTGAGGCCACTGGATATGACACCCAGCCACCAACCAACACAAACCTACACCCCCATGCACCCACCCATTCCCCCTTCCCCCACCCACCCCCTTACCCCCACCCACCCCCTTATCCCCACCCTCCACAACCCCCGTACTCCCACCAACCCATACATTACTGTACTCCGTGGCTACCACACGGACGTTTACGCTGCTGCAAAATTCAAAGGAATGCTCCAGCAAGTTAATACAATGATTTTATGCATCAAGAGGGTTACATATGGACCTGGGAGAATGTTCGTATGGACGAATGTTCGTGAGGTCCCCATTTTTTCCAGATTTTGAGAGAGTATAATGTACAAGTTCAAGTATCTGTATGCTTTTTTAGACTATAAAATACATTTCAAAAGGATAGAGTAGCATAGGTTATTTCTACCTTTGTGTATACTGTACTGTATTACATGTATTGGTATTGTGAGATATGCAATTTGTAAAGGAAATGAGACTACTTCCCTTGTTGCCTTAAAAATGTGATTGAAAAATACATAATTCGTTAATAGACGAGTCTTATTTACTAATCTTTGTGTAAAGAGCTGTAGAAAATATAATTCCTAAATTATTTTGGTATAATGTAGCTTTGTTCGGCCTGTGTTGTCTTGCGTTATATGGGAGTGTGAAAATGATGTGCGTATTGTGCTCTCGTGCAGGCTCCCAGTGTGAATCTTCAGGACCAGAGCCTCATCTTCTCAGCTGTTGGACATGGTGCACAAGGGGAAAACAAATATGGATTTAATCTCAAGCTTTTAAGAACAATTGACACTGAGGTACAGTACCATTATTTAATGTTATTCATTTGATACATTAACTTTAAAAATATTCATTATGAAAGTAAAAAATGCAAAATATTTAATATCATTTGTTATGGGAATAAGTGATTATTATGCTCTTAGTAGTAACGAACTTAGTTTCCTGGAAAATTGTATATTTAGCAGTCAGAGACTCATAATGAGAAAATATTCTAGCATAATGTTTAATTATAATGAGACCCTAGACATGAGATATTACCAAATAGCATATCTATCTTTTGCATCGGGTTCAGTTCTCGAGTGCATTGTATGCCTTTGTAACCGTTTACACAACCGCCCATGGGGTGGCTATGGGGTGCATAGTAAAAAGCAGAATCAATGTTATCTTTCAAAATTGGCAGGAAATGTAACTTTGGTTTCCTGTAGGTGGTAGAACACCTATTATATTCTTCCTGAAAGGAATATGTCTGACTAATTTAAAATATTTGGAAAATAGGTGCTCCCTAATCTTTTCTGTAATTGTACAGTGCCCTCATGGTTCTTGAGTCTTTTAATCCTTCCAATCCTATTATGCCCCCATAATTAAACCTATTATGGTTTAAATCCAGTACTGGCTGTTTTTCATCTTTAGCTTATTTATTACTGTCAAATTTTGCTGGGTACCCAGCCATATCAGTGTTACCTCTTATGAACTTGTTACTGCTGAAGAATCCATTTATACTTGTCCTGTTTCCCTTAACCCTGTAACACTGTAAAAGTGTTTGGGTTAGTTTATTTAAAATATATATAGAGTACACGAGTCACAGACAAGGATCTGAGAGGCGCCAGTTGTCTGCCTGAGATCTCACACCTCTAACCGTTAATGACCCCAAGTGACCTGAGGTCAGATCATGATAATTTCACCTTGCTTCCGCTAAGCGTATAATTGGAGCCGGGTAGCCTTCAAACATGCCGACGTTTAAGGAGTGGCTTGGTAGTGCCGGAGGCTATCTACTTGTGGGCGGAGTTAGCTACTAGGTTCCCCAATATAAACTCGGAGAGCTATCCAGCAAAAAGCAATAGGAGACCGGCCAGCGGAGCAGAGCAGAGGCCAGCCGTCGAGATAGGCCGTCACCAGACGGGGGGTGACGCTGCCTGAAAATTGCAGACCCCCCCCCCTCTCTATTCAACTTAGACTCAGTCCTCGGTGAGTGAACATTTAGGTGACTTGGTCGTGTTTACATATGTTGTGTGATGATCAGGGGCAGTCAAGTTGTAGGGTTCTCGAATTCTTGGATGATGACTCACTTTGCATATTAAACTGGAACATTTTAATTGAATTGCTAAAATATGATACTTCATGTGAAATATAATTATGAATTTATTATTTAAATTGTGTTTAACTTTGTTCCCTAGAGATTTTGAGTTGAGATGAGAAAGCCTCTGTAGTTACTGGTTTCATGGTTTAGAATGAGTACATGATAAAGATGGGACCATACTAATAATGATCTCATGATAACATCCCTTGGAAGAGAATATTTTGATACAGGCAAGTTCCATTCCTTGTCTTGTATGTAATGATCATGAATGGATGGTGGCAGCATTTCGTCTTCTACTATCTACTCTTCTACTTCTACTATCTACTCTTCTACTACTACCTATCTACACCTCTCCCTCCACCCCCTCTCTAAACTCTCACTTTCAACTAATGACCCTCCTTGCCCCTCCCACCTCTCTGCCTCTCACCCCAAACCCTCACTAATTACTTCACTATTCATTTCTTTCCTTTCGTTTTCTCTTATACGTTTGTGGCAATGATTCTGTATTCTAGAGTTCTCTCTAGAGTTTCGGGTAACTGATCAAGTTACGGCGCCTTGTAGTCTTAGCACCTAGGTAGTCAAATACCTAGGTTACAAGGTGTTGAACGAGAGAGGCTGCCTTAGGAACTCTGGAGGGTGCTCTAGAATAGTTAGCTAACTGGAGACGGGATAACGGACTAGAGAGAGCTGTTTCCCCCGGCTTCGTTAGTTAACTGGGGGGTGGAATAATGGACAAGATAGAGCTATTGCCCCCACCCCCCGTTACAATGATGGCAGCGGTGTTGAACAATGTTGTAGGTAGTTGGTGTTCTTTTAACATTGTTCAGTCCCACGTGTCTTTTGCCGCTCAGGCGCTATCAGGGAGATCTTGACAAGTGTTTTACTTTCGCGATTTAGCGAGTTTTTTCAGGCTAGGAGATGGTGATTCTCTGGTGTTGTGTTTAGTGATTTTGTGAGTTTTGTGGTATTCAGGGAATGTTCACCAGAACTTGCGTGTGTAGTGATTTATGTTAGTAATAAGATTTGGTGATTTGGGGACTTAGCGGTGTTGGTAGTGGAGCTCACCTGAGTGTGACAGGTGACCTCGCATGTCCCAGGAGGACACCCAGCCACCGCTGGTCTCCAGGTCAGTTGGGGAGTGGCAGGTGTAGTTCTTAAGTAGAATTTAGTGGTGGTTCTGCTCAGATTATTGCGATCGACTGTTTTACTCCATTTGAACGCAATAACCCGAGGTGTACTGGTATTGTACAGCATGCTAGGGGGAGCCTTAGTATGTCAGTAGACTTCACGTTGGGGACGCTCGACGTTAGATAGTCTGGTCACAGGGGTGGCAACAGTTTGGGGTTGTTGACCGGCGGAGATGCTAGGGAGACACTCTGGGTCACGTAGGTGGCTGTAGGTTAAGGGTGGGAGTAACGTTTAATTATGTACTTAAGATTAGGAACGGTACAGTTAAGTTAGGCTAGTGTTTTGTCTATTAGTGTTGATTTTTTTTTTGTATGACAAGTTAAAAGTAGTGATGACCTTATTCTCTCTTCTCTAACTTTACTCTGTTACTGTTTTATGTTCCACCAAGTCAATATCATTCAGAGTTAATTGGATTATTAAAATTTAAGTGTAGTTGTTGCCAGGAGGAGAGCTTATAATTGGACTGTGTGAACCCTATACAAACTACAGGGTCACACAACAAGATGGAACACGGGTATTGTTGCCTTTCTGTTCACCCACAGGTGGGAGCCAGAAGAGAGGAGAGACGCACATACAAAAGAGGGAGACGGCTGCTGTGTACCACACTCAGGGGCGTTTATCACCACCACCACGACCAGCCCACTACCTGGAGGTCATGGCTCCACCACCACCACCACCCCAGGGGACCCCAAGATGCAGCCCTCTCGGTCGGTCAACATTGGTCTACCCTGTGGACCCCAGGACGGACGGACCCCAGTGGACCCCAAGACGGACGGACCCCAGTGGACCCCAGGTCGTTCTGCAGACGAACCCAGACGACCCAGTAAAGATGGAAGAGGAACAACGACTCCAGTCTGTCCCACCAACATCGGTCTACCCAGGACGGACCCCAATGGACCCCAGGTCGCTTGTCAAAGACCCATGGGAGGAGGAAGAGAAAAGAAAGAAGAGAGAAGAAAGAAGAGAGAAGAAGGAAGAGAGAAGAAAGAAGAGAGAAGAAAGAAGATAAGACAAGCTGAGTGAGACACGATGCCTCGTGTCCCTTGCTGGTATCAGCATCATTGCATGGAGCGTAATTGCAAGACAGGATCGTTTGCCTTAACTGGCCGCCCCTCCTACAAGCATGTTGCTCTGTTGAGTGATTCTTCCTGTGTCATGCGGACTTGATGTGGCTGTCAGAAGTAGCTCTCTGAAGGAGGCGTGCTGGAGCAACAGGGAGGAAGAAGAGTAGGATGGGATTTCTACTGTTGGCAACTATATGAAGGTCTCGAAACTTGTAGTCCCTATAGCTGTGAAGAACCCCAATATACGTCTCTCATGGTGACTGACGTAGGGCCAATTACAGATCAGCTGGGACAACCGAATTCCACGGTCCTGTGCGCAGTTCAAGTAGTAACGGCTTTCGGGTTGACCAAGTGTTGTTGTGCGTTAACGACGGAGAAGCGACGGAGGCAGTTGTGTTGAAGAAATGTGGTACAGGATTATCTACAAGACCAAGCAGTGACGTCGCCCAGCCAGAGACAATGGACGTCTGTCTATATATTTCATTTTTTAGAGTAGGATGATGTATATTTGTTTAGCTAGGATGTATTCTTTTCGTTAATAAAGTTGTCGCACACAGCTAGCTTGCTTTAGCAGTGTTGCAAAAACTTTATTTTCGGGGAGAAGGGGAGATGTATCACTGTAAAAGTGTTTGGGTTAGTTTATTTAAAATATATATAGAGTACACGAGTCACAGACAAGGATCTGAGAGGCGCCAGTTGTCTGCCTGAGATCTCACACCTCTAACCGTTAATGACCCCAAGTGACCTGAGGTCAGATCATGATAATTTCACCTTGCTTCCGCTAAGCGTATAATTGGAGCCGGGTAGCCTTCAAACATGCCGACGTTTAAGGAGTGGCTTGGTAGTGCCGGAGGCTATCTACTTGTGGGCGGAGTTAGCTACTAGGTTCCCCAATATAAACTCGGAGAGCTATCCAGCAAAAAGCAATAGGAGACCGGCCAGCGGAGCAGAGCAGAGGCCAGCCGTCGAGATAGGCCGTCACCAGACGGGGGGGTGACGCTGCCTGAAAATTGCAGACCCCCCCCCCCTCTCTATTCAACTTAGACTCAGTCCTCGGTGAGTGAACATTTAGGTGACTTGGTCGTGTTTACATATGTTGTGTGATGATCAGGGGCAGTCAAGTTGTAGGGTTCTCGAATTCTTGGATGATGACTCACTTTGCATATTAAACTGGAACATTTTAATTGAATTGCTAAAATATGATACTTCATGTGAAATATAATTATGAATTTATTATTTAAATTGTGTTTAACTTTGTTCCCTAGAGATTTTGAGTTGAGATGAGAAAGCCTCTGTAGTTACTGGTTTCATGGTTTAGAATGAGTACATGATAAAGATGGGACCATACTAATAATGATCTCATGATAACATCCCTTGGAAGAGAATATTTTGATACAGGCAAGTTCCATTCCTTGTCTTGTATGTAATGATCATGAATGGATGGTGGCAGCATTTCGTCTTCTACTAT